ATATTGTGCCTTTGTAGGAGGTAACCTTGTCTCCTGGAGGAGTAAGAAACAAAGTGTTGTTTCTCGTTCTAGTGCTAAAGCTGAATATAGATCTATGGCTAATGGTGTGGCTAAAATCCTATGGCTGAAGTCATTATTTGAGGAGTTGGGTATTGCTTATGAGAAGCCCTTAATGTTGTATTGTGATAATCAGGCTGCTATTAATATATTTCATAATCCGGTACAGCATGACAGAACTAAGCATATCGAAGTCGACCGACATTTTGTCAGAGAAAGGGTTTCGTCTCAAGAAGTGTGTCTCCCGTATATCACCTCCAACATGCAACTCACAGATCTTCTCATCAAGGCTGTTCCAAGGAAGAAGTTAGAGGCAGACCTATGCAAGTTGGGAATGACAAATATCTATTCCCAACTTGAGGGGGAATGTAGAGAACACTGATGTGGACTCCACTGCTGTGTTCCCCACTGTGTTCGTATGGCAGCATATTTTTTGTTAGTTTATTTTTGTTAGTTATGTTAGTGTTAGTTGGTAGTTATTTCAATTTGTTTTTACAGCTTGTTATTTCAGCTTTATTATTAGTTTATTTGCCATGTAAGCAATAAGGGCAATTAGTCAACATATATAAATATTAAGAGTGGGTCGGCAGATCAACTGATCAACCCTCTCTCTCTTTTCAAAATCTCTTCGTGTGCTTCTTCTTTTCTCCCTCTCTTCTTCTTCTCTTATGAAATTTCTTCTTTCTTTTCTTTTGAATTCAAGACTGATTGTAGTCTTGATCGATTACTAGACCTAAGTTCCAATTTAACCCAACCAAAGGGGTATACAATGAAATCTAAGGCAGGCCTTCCTTGGAGGTTTGAAAGAGCCAACATAGAAGTAAACACATCTTTCAAAGGGGACTCCCCAACCTAGATGTCTTCCCAAAATCTGATTCTATTAGTAGATGGCAGGCCTTCCTGACATGAGCAAGAGATTGATGAGGGTGCTGTGAATAGTTAGGGCTGCAAATAAGTTAGATAGGATCCAACTCAAATCTGAATTTGATCTGGTAAGAGCTGGATTCAGATACCTCCCTTGATCCTAACAAATTGGATCGGATCGGAAAAGTTGATTGTTTAAAACCACTCCCCTTTTTTCTTGATCTTTTATGGGCCTTAACACATTTGTTAGCAATAAGAATCTGCTTCACAATTTGCCTATCCTGAACAAAAGCTCCCCGAAATTGAGAGATAACTGAAGGTAGTACCTTTTTTATCCTCAACCACAATACCTTAGCTACGATTTTATAAATGCTAGTAACCGACTGATTGGTCTTAAGTCTTTCAGTTGACTGGCATTAGACTTCTTTGGCACCAAAGTAATGAAGGCGGAGTTCATTCCTGCATGTATTTTGCTTCTCCTACGAAATTCCTCAAACACTTCGACCAAATCCTCCCTACTGATTTCCCAACAATCCTGCTAGAAAGCCATTGTGAATCCATATGGACCTTGAGCCTTAGATCTATCCATGGTAAACACTGCATCCTTAATTTCCTCCTCAAACATTCTTTCCAAGAATTGAGCTTGCTGATCATCTAACTTATCCCAATCCAGCCCATCACCTAACCATCTCTCATTAAGTGGCCTTCTATAAATTGAATAATTGATTTAGAATGATCAGCAAAGGCCTTAGTAGTCTACCTTTGATCTGTAACTTCACTACCATCTATCTCTAAAACATAGATTAAGCTCTTCTAGTTCCTCTGTCTCCCATTTGCTATGGAATGAAAATTTGGTATTTCCATCTCCCAAAGAAGTGAATTATTCCAGCCCTCATTGAGTCTATGCTCCAATAGGCTTTGAATATACCAAGACTATAGCCCCTTCATGATCTTTAAATGCATCCTTGTCTCTGATGGGCTTGGGGGGTAACATTGCTTATTGACTATCTCTGTACGGGATGAAGAGGGGCTATCATGTTACAATTCCTTACCAATTACCATATCATCCATGCCAATGTTCTTATATTTTTTTCTATTGTGAAGCTAATTTGCCTCCCAACTGGTGATGAGACAAATGCTAGTAAAATGCTTCTTGGGTTGTAATTTGTCTAAAAGACTATAATTCCTTTCTCCACATATTATAGCTCAAAGTTATTATATCTGTATGAATTTTCTTCTTCTTGATCTCAGGGAAAAGAAAGAAAGTTGAGTAGGCTCTAATTAACAGCAAGGTACACCAACTTAGCATCAAACTGAATCAATAAAATACTCTCAAATGCCAGTGACATAACGACAAAAGATTAATAAGTCAGAGGTGGTATTGCTGCTAGCGATGGAGAGGAAGCACAAATGGCTCAATGCAATACACGGGATAATAAAACGAAAAATATGATTCTAACATAAGGCACACATCTGAAAAGAAAGAAAGAAAGAAAGAAAGAAAGAAAAAAAGAAGAAGAAACTAGGTGATAGGAATCTGCAAAGGAAAAAACCAAATTCTTGGGTAGCTCCCATAATTTTACATATCAATCAACATGCATTTAAATTGAAAAATGGCAATATTCTTTACTAGTAGCAACAAATTTCTTCCCAAAACATACCAAGTATATGTTTGGCATGGCTTCCGTTTATTAAATAAATGTTTGTACTTGATTTGTCTTCAAAACCGAGAAAAAAGTGGTTGGTAAACAATTTTTGGGATTGGTTGACAACTAGATGCCATATCAGCGGAACGGTGAATAAACACTTAACCGTTGGGGGAAGCGTTAAAATGAAGCTTCCCCCAGCAGTTGGTGCGCACATAAACCAAGACCAACTTTTATCAATACCTATGCGTACAAATCGACATGATGGGACAAGTGCTGATTTGGCGATGACATGGTGCCGTTTATCAAATAAATGGAAGCTATACCAAACACCGCCCAAATCATCATATCTAAAAGACATTAATATTTTAAATGAATTAATTTTAATATTTTTCAAACACAACACTATAACATAATATGAATTCAATAGAGAAATTGCATGTCAAAAAATTATTAGCAACTGAAGACGGCCAATCTTATACTAATAAAACTTTTTAAAGAGAGTAATAAAAGGGAAAAAGAACAAGGGCCAAATCCCATTTTGAGGTTATAGAAATAAGAAGAAAACTCTTTCTTTTTCTCTTCATAAAACCCTTGTATCTTTTTATGTTTTAATGGTAAAATCCTTGAAAAAAGCATAAATGATATACATAAAATATGATTTACCATGGTGTTTCTAAAGCAAAGTATAGAGCTATGGCCCATGGTGTTTCTGAGTTGTCATGACTTATATCTCTCCTTAACGAGATGGGTGTTTCATGTGACAAGCCACTGATGTTGTATTGTGATAACCAAGCTGTTATTAACATTGCTTACAACCCAATTATAAAAAAAAAAAAAAACATTGCTCACAACCCAGTTCAGCATGATAGAACTAAGTACATTGAGGCATATAGACACTTTATACGGAAGAGAGTGGCTCCAGGAGAGGTGTGCCTACCTTTCATTGCATAAGAAGAGCAGCTAGCAGATTTTTTAACTAAGGGAGTCCCAAAGGCAAAGCTTCAACATTATGTGAGCAAGCTGGTCATGATTTACATTTATGCTCAACTTGAGGGGGAGAGTAGTGAGAATGGGCCGAATCGGCCCTAGTGTTCTTTATTTCTTTTAAGTAGTGTTTGAAAGTTATGTTTCTTAGTTATGGGCCTCTTTTTATTTTCTTTAATTATCTCTTTAGTGCTGGCCGCCTCATTAAGGGCATCCAAGTAATTGTACTCAGACTTAGAACTATTTATAAAAGTGATGAAAGGGGGCTAGAGAGAGAGGTTCGAATTCTTCTTTTCTCTTTTCCCTTCTTTTCTTCTTCCACAACCTATTGTTGAAACTTCTTTTCTTCTTCTTTCTCTTTCTCTCTTTTCTTCTTTTCTTGCATTATCTGAATTACTGTAGGTGTAATTTTCAATTGTGTGGGCTGGTTAAGGTGTAACACTCTGGGAACATGGACATATTGATGCTTATTAAGAGAAGTTAGAGTATTGGCTGAAGAACTGTTGGCCACTTTCTAGTGGATTCCTAGTTGTGCAAACAGCATGGATGATTCACTAGATAGGCAAGGGGTTAGTAAATCAGAAATGTTTTGGGGGTGATACCAAGGGGGTCATAATTTATCAGTTGTTTTGGGGTATATAGTAAATTGCTAGTCTACTTTGTTCTATTTACTTGTAAATGTGTACACCTGCTTACAAAAATTAATAAAATCTCATTGATTGATACCAATAAAAAAAGGAGGTAGAAATTTTGCAAAATTTCCAGCTTCTTCACAGTCAAAAGCACCTTTCATTTGTTTAAGATCTTAGTTCTTTATTATCATTCTTATGGCAGTATTTCGATGGGATTTGACATATAATGCTTTAATTAACTACCAGTGTATCATTTTTCCATTTAAAATTGCATAACTAAATTAATTTTTATTATCTTTTTGTTGTCTGCAAAATGTTGATAACTGATCTAATTATTTCTTCCAGATAACATTGCTGCTTCATTTTTCTTGTCCACATGATTATTCACTGAACTCCAAAATTGAAGGATCTTACCAATTCCAGATGGAAACTTTAGAGGGAATCTTTAGCTGGTTAGCAGTTTTATGGGAGCGAGGCTTTTGCCATGAAAATCCTCAAGGTATGACTGTCATTTGGTGTTGGGATCATAATGGTGTCAAATTAGGATTTTCCTTTATTATTATTTTATTATATTTCTTCCACCTTTTCTTTCTGACATTTTTTTTTTCCTTCTAATTTTTTTTCACTGCAGTTAGGTGCTTGATCATGCAGTCATTTTTGGGCATTGATTGGAAGAATCATGGGGAATGGGCTAAACTAGTGCCTAAAAGTTTTGTACTCGGTCCTTTTATACAAGGACTGAATGACACTGTGCACCACAAGGATTTTGGTTTGTTCTTAACTGAACCGTTCATTCTTTGTCCTGCAATCTTCAACTAGAAAATAAATATTTGTACTGCTACATTGATTTTTTATTTGCACTTCTACTAGCATAAACATAGTGTGGCTGTGGTAACCTATAAAAAAAGGAAGTTACTGATTGGTGGTGACAAGGTAGCCTGGCCTGTGGTGTTTCCACTCCTATTGACTAAAATCCTTTTGAAGGCAGCTAAATGTTGCAGCTCCAAAGCTGATGGAATATCTTGTGCCGTGTGCAGAACTTCAGACTTTTTCTTGGCTTTTGGATCATCTATTTTGCCTTTTATTCTTATTTAAGAATTCAATTCACATGCAACCACATTGAAATTACCTTAACATTAATATACATATTGCATCTTATTTTTTAGGTGTAAAAGGAATTTATTCTTCAACAACAATTGAAGGTGCAGCCAGTTTTTTCTGTCAGTTCTCCAGTTATCTTTGTGGGAGGTATACTGCCATTGTGTATTCTGATTTGCTTTTTTTTGCCATTTCTGGATAATGCCCTAGATTTCTAGTGAAAATGTAAAATTACATGTTATGCTTTGGCAATTTAGTATTGTTCTGGTGATCCAACTTGGGCCTGGCCGATTTGCAGTATATTTATGTATTATATGTACCCTATATTCATATATGCATACATGTGTTATTTTATATTATATTAGATAATAAATATTAGGACACATCCTTTGTGTCTTTGTGTATTTGTAGGTAAGGCTGCATTCATCTGACCCTCCCTAGACCCTGCATTGGCGGGAGCCTCGTGAACATGGCTGCCCTTTTTTTATCATACATATATTATGAAACAGATAATATATTTTATATACAATATTTTATCATATAAAGTATAACATATATGTATGATATATGTCATATAATGTAAAATATTATATATGTATTTAAGACAATATATTCATATGCTTGGAAGCTTATATTACTTGGGGGGGGGGTAGCCAAGGTTAATCTACTAAAGAGGGGTGCATGGCACTTAACGTTGTAATATATAAATTCATAGAAAGTAATAAGTTGTTGTCTCCAATAAAAAGGGTATAGGCCTGGAAGCCCGGCCTGGTCCATGATCACCCTAGTTGGGGCTCAAGTGTTTTCAAACTTGAAAGGTACACTTCAGTCATGCTTAGGCACATTGGCTTGCATCTTGCGCCCCGACCTAGGCTCGGGCCGTTTTTGGATATGTTTTTTTTTTTTCTAGATTCTTATATATTTTACACTTCTATAATTGTTTATCACTTCTAAATTACCTTTTATTGCTGTTTCTATACTAGTAGTGGCCTATTATTAATGAGGCATGGGACCAATGCCTCTTCTTGGGTTGTTGAGTGTCTTGCCTGATAACTTGGTTGTATGGTTTAGTTCCCTTCTAGCTTTTTAAATGTACTTTATCCCATTATCTTGCTCGTTAATAAATTTTATTTGTTGACATTTGACAATAGAAAAACCAAAAGCTAGAACCAGAACAGTAATGGATGACAGAGATTGATGTGGAGTCCTTGGATGTTACCCTCTTGTAGTGTGACTGGGCTTTGACATTGTAGAGGTCAGTATCCTCTAAAGAGGGCTTCTTGAAGGCCTTATTTTTTGCTGAAATGGGGTGTGGTGACTTGCTGTTGTTCATGGGTTACCTTGACCTTTTGATTTCAATTGGGAGCGGATTATGGTTGGGCCCTCTATGGTTGGAGAGATTGCAATAGGGCTCTCCCAATTATGAGAGCCATGGTGGATAATTCAGATTGAACATGGTCTAATCCCTTTTTAGATGCAGAAGCAGAAGGTTACTTGTTGGTTAACAAAGGCCGTTTCTTGTGATAAAAGGTGGCAATATGGTTGAGGAGGTGAATCTTGTTTCATACTTGCTCAAAATCCAATCCAAGAGGAATTATTATAAGGGCAAATTTCTTAAACTACCCCCAAGGTTCAGGAAATTGACTAACTATACCCCTACTGTTTTAGTATTGTCTTAAAGCACCCCTACTATTTCTGACAATTTTCGCCATCGTTAAATCGTAAAGGAGACATACGAAAAGTCGTTTGTACCCTTACATTAAGAAAGGGTGCCAAATAGTAAATTACTATTTGACCTTATATTTAACACAACAGGCATAGAGATGTTCCCGAGTAGAGAAGAACATATGCCACTGCTGGAGTGAAGAATATCGTCACCTGCAACGATAACTGCTACAACATCCGTCCAGCGGTGCGACGGTGAGTCATTACTGTCGTCTCTCCAAATTAGAATTTAGAAATCCTACCGTCAATATTGCCAGCTTTGAATGGTCTGTTCACACGGCCCTATCTCTGTTGGGATTCGGATTGTTCAAATAAAAGGCGTTGCTGCCCTCTTCTTTGGCGTTTTGGCTACCATCTTGCGACAAACACTATACTACACCATGCGTATGGATCTCTACAATGTCATGAAGCAAAAATGATCCGACCCTAATTCGGGCAAATATGCCCTTCGTACACAAGATAGTGGCTGGCTTGATAACCAACGGAATTGGTGCGGCCGTCAGCAACCCAGTCGACGTTGCCATGGTTCGAATGTAGGCCGATGGCCGCCTTCCCCTGCCCAACGATGCAACTACAAGAGCGTAGTTGATGCCATCACGAGAATGTCAAAATAGGAGGGACTCACAAGTTTATGGCGCGGATCGTCTCTCACAGTGAACCGCACAATGATCGTGACTGCATTGCAACTGGAATCATACGATTAGATCAAGGAGTTGATCTTGGGGTATTGTCTGATGAGGGATGGGCTTGGGACCCACGTGACGGCGAGTTTTGCAGCGGGGTTTGTGGCTGCAGTGGCGTTGAAGTCAGTGGATATGATCAAGACGAGGGTGATGAACATGAAGGTGGAGGTAGGGGCGCCACCGCCTTACTCTGACGCGTTAGATTGCGCATTGAAGATAGTGAGGGCGGAGGGGCCGATGGTGCTGTATGCTTGTACAAGATCATCCCTAGAATATCAAGGCAAGGGCCGCTCACGATGGTGTTGTTTGTGACCCTAGAACAGGTCTGAAAGATTCTCAAGGATTTCTAAATTCTAATTTGGAGAGACGACGACAATGATTGATGAATGATCTATTCACACGGCTTGTTGATGTGCATGCTGAGGTTCGTCTTTATCTACACCAGACCCAGTGTTCTTGCTGATGACTACCAATGATAGAACCAGCATAACAGGTGTTGGTCTTCATCTCTTTGTGCGTAAGTGAAAAGGGAATTTTCGACCATTAAAGGGTATTTTGGGTATAATGTAACATTAAATCAAACACGTGAAGTACGTGTACACGGTTTGTGATGGAGTTAATGGGAAGGGAGTTGTGCGATAATTGTTCAAAATAGTAGGGGTATAGTAAGTCAATTTCCTAAACCTTAGGGGTAGTTTAAGAAGTTTTCCCTTCTTATAACTTGTAAGGTGGCTATTAGAAAGGTGAGGGAGGTTTTGGAGTTGATGGGGGATAATGGGGATTGGTGATTGAAAGGCATGCCTAGTATGTGCCTTGCCTAAGCCCTCGACATAGATGTGTAAAATGGGTCAGACCACTTGTAGGTTGGAACAACTTGCTAGCTATAGTGCCAGGCTGTGCTAGGCACAACATGACCCTGGCCAGCCTGGGTTGATTGTTTTTGGCCCATGGGCCATGCCAACCCACGGTTCGTGTGGGTTCGTCTTGGCCCATCTTGGCCAGTGACACAACCCAACATGACCTTGCATGTTTGTAGAGAAGATGGGCCGAATGGCCCATAGGCCGTTTATCCTTCTTTATCTTTTTATGTTCTTTGCTGTAATGGGCCTTAATCTGGGCCCTTATTTTTTCTTATGTTATGTTTTTAATTTTATGCCCAACCAGGAGCCTCTCTGTAAATTACTAAAGTTTAACTTAATGAAATGGGATTAGGGGTGTAAGAGGAGATTATGTTCGAAAATCTCTCTCTGAACCCTAGTTGTCGCTACCTTCTTCTTCCTCTTCTCTCTTCTTGAAACCTGATTTCTGCTACTTTCTATTGATTCTCTGCAACATTTTAAACAGTCCTTTCATTTCAAAAGGCTGTTTTTCTTCTTGGTATCAGAGAAGGCTCGTCTTCTTCTCTTTTCACCTCTTTTTTCCCATACACAGTGTGTATGGAGAACTGAATCGGATGAATAGTTAAAGAAACCTGTTTTCGCCCAGTTGTTAATGGTTTTTGGAGAGAAGGGGACTGATTTTGTCATCCTCCTGACATATTCAAGTGTGTTGCTCGAAACCCTAATTTTCTGGAGAAATCTGATTGGTAGGGTAGGAGTTGACCTGAGTTGAAGGAGGGAGATAGGGGAGAGAGACTTGCTGACAGTGATAGTGTTATCCCAAAAGCTAAGAAGTCCTGGGATTCAAATATTTCTCATGTAGTGCATGTAAATAAAGTGTTCAGTTGTAAATCAGTCCTCTAAATCTGATGTAAACTTGGGAAAAATTAGAGAAAAAAGAGGAAGAAAAGAAGAGAACAACAGTACAAGAGAAGGAAGATGGAGAAAAGAGGAGGAAGAAGAAGAAGAGTTCGAATGTCTCTTCCCTCCCTTCTCTAATCCTTTTACTAAACTTCAATCTTAACATAATTACAAGTATACCCTTAAGTGGGCGGCCAGCTAGGCAGTAACATAAAGAGAACTAGCAGAAGAAATAACAGGCCCATTAGCTAACAAATAAATAAAACATACTACAAGAAAAGATACTTGGACCCATTCAGCCCAGTCTCTTTACACTTCCCCTCAAGCTGAGCATAGATGTCAATCATGCCCAACTTGCTTATATAGTGTGTCAGCTTCCCTCTCGGAACTCCCTTAGTCAAAATATCAGCTAGTTGCTCTTCTGAGGTGATGAATGGCAAACAAACTTCTCCTGAGGAAACTCTTTCCCGTATAAAATGTCTGTCAATCTCAATATGCTTAGTTCTATCATGTTGAACAGGATTATGTGCAATATTGATAGCTGCTTGGTTGTCACAGTAGAGCATCATTGGCTTCTCATAGTCAATATTGATAGCTGCTTGGTTAACACACCATGTGCCATAGCCCTATATTCAGCTTCAACAGAGGATCTGGCAACTACAGGTTGTTTCTTACTCCTCCATGAAACAATATTCCCTGCCACTAAAGCACAATAACCTGAGGTGGATCTCCTATCATCAATACATCCTGCCCAATCAGCATCAGTGTATGCTTCCAGCTTCATGTGTCCATGTTTGGCAAATAGAATACCTTTCCCTGGAGTACCTTTCAAGTAACACAGAACTCTTTCTGTAGCAGATAAATGAGTATCTCTAGGAGAATGCATAAATTGACTAATAACACTCACTCAATAGGAAATGTCCGGCCGAGTCCTACAAATATATAACAACTTCCCAAGCAGTCTCTGAAACACTCCCTTATCAGATAAAAGTTCACCATCTGT